CAAATACATGCTCTGATGGTAAGAAATTTCTCAAAAACGAAGAATCTGATTCAGAAAGACAAGTAGAAGTTGCGGAGGTCAGTTAAAAAGAATGTCGCGGATGATACTAGATAATGCTAAAATTTAGAACTTCGCCATTTTATTAATATGAACTTTAGGATAGTCGTTAATAGAAGCAGGATCTGTAAAAATTCGAATTTTATATAAAAAAATCCAAAATTTTCCGAGTTCCCGAGTATTGCACAACGTAGATAAGTATTGTCACAAAAAATCGGCAGTAACGTGATATACAAGCCACTCTGACTATATTTTTATATTCTGGCTATTAATTTTATACATACTTATTATTCGGGATCTAAAAGTTAATAAAAACTTTTTTGAATCCCGAATTATAAGTATAAAATTAATAGCACGAGTGGCTTGCATATCACGTCACTGCCGATTTTTTGAAAACATTGCCGATAACTCAAAATTTTGCTTAAAAAATCACCTTTTACGTTTTAATAACGAAAAATTCCTGGCCAAATTTTACTATACAATTCAATATTAACCCCAACTCTAATGCTGGTCAAAATTTCACGTGCTTTTAGTAAATAACAAACTATTGTCACGTGATTTGTGTCACCAGCGCAAATATTAACATACGAATCATCATCTGATTTCAATAAACTGCAGATCACCCTAAATATGGAAATAAAACAAATAATCTCATTGGACGATTTTATAAAAAATTGATCTTCAAATGATATACAACAAAAATATAAGTAATCATGTGTACTGTAGTAAAGTGGTTATGACGCATGACTCTATATATTGGCCACTGTAGGGTTGTAGGTTCGAGACCATGTGGTAGCATGTCACAGCTGCTATATGCAAGATGACTTACCACCACTACAGTAATTTTTGCTTTCGGCTTTCGCTTTTTTTCCTTGCTCTTTTTTTTTTCAATATTCATTTTTTTTCTTCACATTCTTTTCTTTCCCGTTGTTCTCTTTTTTCCCTACTCGTTTTTTTTTCCTGTTCTTTTCTTTCCATTTCTTTCTTTTTTTCATTTTTTTTTTCTTCCCCATTTATTTCTTTCATTTCCGTTACTTTATTTTTCTCTTTTTTTTTTTTCTTTCTCCTCGTCTTTTCTTCCCTGTTGTCACAGTCTATTTCGGTGCCCCAAGAATTCATAGGTTTGTGAACCCTTTTTTGTGCTCTATTTCTCTTTTGTGCAACGCTAATCTCCCGTTCCCTTTAATCTTTTTTTCGCGTCAATTTACTAATCTGTGATGTAAGGAACTTTAAAATTTACAAACCATGGATTTAACTGTATATCGCTGTTTGCATGTTTTTTTCGATGCTTTTTTTTTCTTCGTGAGCAACACTAACAAAGCGCGTTATTTTTATTTATAGGTAATAATAATCTTTTAAATTTACAAACCAAATAATGATTTATTTAGGTAATAACATTTCTCTGTTAATGATGAAGGTAAAAAAAAACAATTTAAATATCAGCATTAGATCGTAAGTATTTTGTTATTAATCGATTTCTCATTATTCTTAATTTTGCTGGTATAATGGGCTTATAAAATTGATACCTTCTAGCGGAAATGCAAAAATTATTTCAAATTTGAAATTATTATTAATGGAAATTTTTAAAAAAACATTTATTTTTTTAGCTTTAGGACAAAATGTAGTTGTCAGCATTTTAGTCAAGGTCTTAATAATTCCATATAAGTTTATTTACACGAATTTCATAATATCGATACGCGCTACTATTACTTTAACCAGCAATTCAATTGAGGGTTACATCGGGAAAAGAATTCCAATTACAATCTGCAAAGATCACTAGAAAAATATCAAACATTTTTTCTTTTCTTCGCCTACTACTTCATCCTTCTTTTGTTCTTGTAACAGACTTTCATAGATCCAGGATAATTGAAAGAATATTTTCGTGATTTTATCTGGTAAACTAAATTAAAACTACTTGAAGATATTTAGATGAAATCCATGTAAGATAAAAATAGCAGAATCATATCTCGAATCTAGGATTATTTGAAAAATATAATCAAAAGATGGTATTTGTGGCATCATGTATATCGCTCCGGAGGTTTTATTAGGTCAAAAATTTACTAAAGCGGATCTTCATGTCAAAAATGTCGACTGGAAAAAGACCTTTTAATGATTATAAAATTAATCTTGGTCTTGCAACAGTGCTTTCATAGGTTCGGGATTCTTCTTTGATGAGATATGATTTTGGAAAGTTATTTTATTTTATTTTGCTGGTTCTTTTTTTCTTCGGCCAACTATCTTTTTTTTTTACGGATTTCTTAGATCCAGGATTTTTTTTTTTTGTGATGCATGATTGTGGTGATTTTTTCTTCGGTAACTAGTTTTCTTCTTTAATTAGAATTACTTAGGTCCGAGAAAGTTTTTTTTTTATTTTTCTTCGTTTTATTTCTTCTTCAGCACCTGACTTCTGTTTTTTTTTTTTTCAGAAAAATCTCGAAAAAATTCTCGTGATCTTACCTGGAAAATTAAATTAAAATTAGAAGATATTTCTGGCTATTTAGATGAAATTCATAATGCAGATGCATTCATGCAACCCTTCACAGTGGCAATATGTTGCAAGAGAAAGTTTGCACCAATTTTGCATCTCAAATCTAGGTTTGTTTAAAAAATATAACTAAAGCGATTCAGAAGATGGTATGCCTTACGTCGCTCCAGAGGTTTTTATTAGTCAAAAGTTTGCAAAATTGCAGATATTTATAGCTTTAGAGTTTTTATGTCAAAACTTTAGACTGGAAAAGACCTTTTGATGGTTATAAATTTAGTATTGGTCTAATATTGGGCTTTCGTAGGTTTTGAACTCTTCCTTTGATGAGACATGATTTCAAGAAGTTTATTTTATTTTATGTTACTGTTTTTTTCCTTCTTCGGCTAACTTTTTTTTGACTGATTTCCTAGGTCCGAGGGTTTTTTTTTTAGTGAGGCTTCTTCAGTAACCGTTTGTTTTTCTTTAGTCAGCTTTCTTAGGTTCGAAAAAGCCTCTTGGTATTTGTTTTTTCCTCGTTAGCTGCCTAACTTCCTTCTGCTGTTTTCCTCATAGGATTTCAAAAAAAACTCTTTTACCTGGCTAACTAAATTAAAACTACCGAAGATATTTCTGACTATTTAGATGAAATTTATAATGCAGATACATTTATGCTGACATTCACAATGTCAAAATAAGATTCACAGAAAACTTACATCCCGAATATAGGATTATTTAAAAGGTATAGCTAAAACGATTTAGAAGATGGTGTGTCTTACGAGGTTTTTATTAGGTCAAAACTTTACGAAATTGCCGATATTTAGAACTTTGGAATCTTCATGCCAAAAATGTCGATTAGAAAAAGACCTTTTGATTGTTATACATTTAATATTGGTCTTGCAACAGTGCTTTCGTAGGTTGTGTACTCTTCCTATGATGAGACATGATTTCGCGAATTTTATTTTATTTTATTTTGAAGGTTTTCATTTTTCTTTGTTTTTTTCTTTTTCAGCTACCTAACTTATTCTGCTTATTTCTTCACAGGCTTTCAAGAAAAAATTCAAAAAAAAACTCTTGTGATCTTACCTGGCTAATTAAATTAAACCTACTTGGAAAATATTTCTGACAATTTAAATGAAATTCATAATACAAGATACATACAACAAACTTTCACAGTGGCAATATTTTGCAATATAAAAATTAGAGGAATCTTGCATCTGGAATATAGGATTGTCTAAAAAGTATATCTAAAATAATTCAGAGGATGGTATGCCTTACGACGTTCCGGAGGTTTTTATTAGGTCATAAATTACAAATTTGCTGATATTATAACATTGGAGTTTTCATGCCAAAAATGTCAACTGTAAAAAACCTTTTGATGTTTTTAACTTAATATTGGTCTTGCAACAAGACTTTCGTAGGTTTGGGAATCTTCCCTTGATGAGTCATGATTCGGTAAAGTTATTTTATGTTAGTTTGCTGTTTTTTTGCTTTTTTTCTTCTTCGGCTAACTATCTTTTTTTTTTTTTTTTTTTTACAAATTTCCTAGACCTGGGATGTTTTTTCATTGAAGCATGATTGCAATAAGTTTTTTTTTTCTTCGATAATTGCTTCTTTTTTCTTTAGTCAGGCCTTCTTAGGTCATTGAATTTTTTTCATTTTTTTTTCCTTCAAACGCCTAATTTTTTTTTTCTTTTTCCTCACAGGTTTTCGAGAAAAACTCATGATCTTACCCGGCTAACTACTTGAAGATATTTTTGACAGCAATCTTTTATCTTGAATCTTTAGTTATTTAAAAAGTATGTCTAAAACGATTCAAAAGATAGTGCGCTTTCATTGCTTTAGAGGTTTTTATTAGGTTATAAGTTTACAAAAACCGCCAATACGTTAGACCTCTATAATGACATCTATATAGTTATGCCTCAATATAAGCTCTAAATATTGTGAAACTGACTTAAATATAGTAAATAAAACCTATAGTTACAAATTATTTATAATTTCTATTGTCTTATAATTTAATAAAGGGTATCTCTAGCTAGAGATGTCTAGAGATGCCTAACGATAATATTTTGAACCTAATAGCCAATTAAAATGCAAATAAATCACATGATAGCTTTATTATTTATGTCCATCAGTGCACAAACTTGTGACATGACGTGTCCTGATATTTTTCCGGTGATCTTTTTATTAAACGGAATTTAGAATCTATAGCCGGAGGTAGTAACGATAGTAACAATTAGTCATGATGTAAGAATGTGTTAAAATTTTGACCAAACGGAAAATTTCCGATTATCAAAAAATTGTGCCGGAATTTTTTCTTGATTTACCGGAGCTCCGGTATTTTACAGTAGAATTTTGTGCTCTGATGTCCATCCTTTTCAACTCCAACTCCATAATAATAAGAAAATCCAATTTGATATATTCCACTGGTGTGCCAATTCCGCAGATTTAAATACTATTCAAAAACCTTTTGATTATTCTTTTAACGCACATGGGCGTTATCTTGAAAATCCCATTTCCTTAAAATAGCATAGTTGGTTTCAAAATAACGCTCATGTGCGTCTCGAAAGAATGCACATTCCATATACATACTAATGTTAATAAATCACTAATGTTAATAAATCACTAATGTTAATAAATCACTAATGTTAATAAATCACTAATGTTAATAAATCGCTAATGTTAATAAATCACTAATGTTAATAAATCACTAATGTTAATAAATCACTAATGTTAATAAATCACTAATGTTAATAAATCATCTTGATACTTACCATCAGTGATGTAAATCGAATCCGCAGCGCACATAGATTTAAATTTGCGCTTATATAATACACATGGGCGTCATTTCGAAAATTCAATTTTGTAAAAAATTAGACCTTTGTCTCGAAATAACGCCCATGCGCGCACTCGAAATGACGCTCATCTCCTCGAAATAACGCTCATCTGTGCGTTATTTCGCGTAAATACGGTAACTCTAATTCCACGATAATAACAACAGCAAGAATTAATGTCCCCCATCTCTGCAGATTTGTGATAATAAATTCCATTTTCATAACAGATACCAATTGAATATATGCATATTTTTGATAATAAATGAATGTTTTACGTTCATCCTTTTCAACTCCAATCCCGTTTTGACAACAAAAACCGAGTGCACAGTAATTAACCTTATTAGCTGCACTTTGAAAAATAAGTGTTGACTTTATCCTTACCAATTTAACATTTATGCCGTAATAATATTGATAACCAAGTTCACAAAGTTTTTTAAGTGTTTCGTCTATTTGGTTCAACATGACTGCAAAAAAAAAAAAAGAATTTTTTCCTTTTTTAAGGCAAAAAAAAACCTTTATTTAGCAAATGCATGGTGATACATTCTTTGTCAAGAAATCATAATAACAAATAAAAATTTAACTTTGGATGAGGGAATTGAGATAATTGATTCGTGCATGAAGGATCATTTTCGCTTCTCGATCCTTCTTCATACTAAAAAAATAATTATTACGGTAGTTCTTGGGCATATTTTCTTTTCTGCTGAAAAAAATAATTAAAACATTGTTTCTTTTTTGCTTCAGATTTCTCATTCGTTTAATTTTATTAATTCGTCTTTGAGTTCTTTATTAGTTAATTTGTTAATTCAACATCTCAGTAATATAAC